TATTTTTCAGAAATAAAATTTGTTAAAAAACAATTTACAATTATATTATCTTTATATAAGAAAAACAAGAGAAAGAGAAACAAAATTTTGTGTATAATATTATTATAAAATAATACTATAATTATAATAGTATAAAACTTTTTAAAATTTGACATGAAGATTAATGTATCGTCCTGCTTAACAATTTTGACAATAATTATCAACATGATAAATCTGAAATTGCTGCTTAATATAACTTTAATATGAATTTTACAAAAAAAGAATCACACACATGCAAAATTTTCGGTCCTATGACTACTTCTATAAATTGAATCATATGAAATTATTAAAAAAACGTGCAAAATCTTGTCAATTAATATAAACGATCACCATTAACATTGCTTTGATTCGCCATATATTTTTGAATTTATCTATGTTTAAAGTATAAGTTTTCCCTAATATATATCTTAAGGAATTTCTTTTTATGTTTGCTTCTGTATTTTCATTCCATCTACATTTTTGTTTTTATGTTTGACATAATCAATTTTAATATTTATAAATGGAAATGTTTCTATTCTTACAGAATTTACTTCTATTTTATATCATTATTGGTTAAGTTTAAAAAAATGTATAACTATTGTTATAATTCTTTTCTTTTTATAAATATAAATAATATTTAATTAATAATATTTAATTAATAATTATTTAATTAATAATAAAAATAATACCGTTTTTGTTTTTTAAGATATTTTATCAGTTTTCCTTGCCATCGATAATGTAATTTCTAATATATGTAACTCTCCTAGCTGTTTAAAAAAAAAAGTTTAGCCTTTTGCTATTATATGTATATTATCTTTATCTTTTTGTATGCATTACATATGATCAGAAACTCTAATTAAAACTATCATTTATTTTTTTTGCACATTTCAATATATAAAGCTCTTTTCTCCATCGCATATGTTGTATATTTGATATTAAACTCCAAACCATAGAGAGTTCTTAATATGTAATTCAAATTTTTCATATCACTTCTCTTTTGAATTAGCAATGTTAAAAGTTCGAAAATAATAATTTTTAATAATATTATAAATTCCATATTATTCGGGAATTTGTCTTTGTCATTCGGCCTTTAGCTATTTTTTCGAAAACTGAGGGAACGTATACACGAATGTTCGCATGTGCGTGTATACTGTCGAGTCCCTGGGGCTGACCCACTACGAAGGGTGGAGCTTAAAATAAGGGTGGTACTTCTCCCAGCTTACCTACTCCATTGGAAAACAGCTTGGTTGAGATGAGCAAGGAACGAAAGGAAGATATAGCTGTGAGAAGCGGCAATAAATTGCTTTAAAACCAATGCACGCTAGTCGAGATTTCAACGCGAGAAACACAGGTTCCTTCTTCTTGTCGTGTGTAGTGTTCTTCGAAACGGATATATATATATATATATATATATATATATATATATATATATATATATAAAGATTTTATGCAATCACTTTTGTGTGATATAAATAAGAGCGTAAAACCTTTTTTTGCAAAAGATTCTTTGCAGAAATCCCAAATATCGATCGGTACTTTCGACCATTAACATGTACGTAAATTGATGCGCTGAATATCAAGATCAGGTGATCAAAGTAACAGTATAGCAGTTTCTTAATATATACGTGCTTGGAATTGATGATTAAGTAGTTCTAACACGTTAAGAACACGTGCAAAATATTGTGAACAATCTACATGGTGTTGGAGTTCAGATAATTGTAATAGAATGCAGTATGGTACCAATGGAAAATCACGAACGTGGGTTGACTATCTCAAGAAGCGATCTTCATATCCGAAATTGGAGAACCAGAAACAAACAAAAGAATCAGAAAGGTACTAAGTATTTATACAACCTAGAATATAAATGCGATTCGGATTCTAGTGACATATATAAAATATTCGAATTACATGTTATACAACATATAAGTTAATTATTAAAAAGTGAATATATCTAAAATTTTGATATTTGAGCAGTTAAATTTATTTAAATTTTCAAATTTACTAATTTGAATCAGAGGACATTTCTAATTAAATATTAAAATAATAATATGAAAACCATTAAAATAACAATATTTATATTTATATTTGTATTAATAATTAAATTTTTTCTCGCGCTGGAATTTTAAGCACACATTTAATTTTACTGTATAACAAAGTATACAAAAATAATATTAAATATTTCTTATATATCTGCTTAAAAGTTTACAATTAATTGAAGTCCCTTACAAGATTAAATAATTATTATGAAATATTAAAAATTCTTTAATATTTAATAAATTGAAAAATAAAATAATACTCATAAAAATTCATAAGGATAAATGATAAAAAATTCATAAGGAATTCATACTTCACATTTTAATCAAAGCCTCCCTCTAATTATTAAATATAAATATTTTTACTTTAACAGCTAATTTTTTATTTTTCATATTTTTGATTTTCATATTTAATACTTTTAAATACGAATAATTATCAGAGTCATTATTTTCTTAATTGGTTATTGGCAATTATATGAAATTGTTCTATTGCGCTTGAAGTGGCGTCTTTGGCTGGGAGCCACCTCTAATTTCTACCACGATAATTCTTGAATGTCTCGTAGTTGCAACGTGGGAGTACTGCATTGAAATTGACCAATGAGAAAGCAACATATTCTCGGTGTAGAATTACTTTTCCCCGGACCTATTCACTCCTACGGTCTATTACGAACCTGCAGTTTTCCTAATAACGCAACAAGCACGAATGATGTTTGAGTATGGTTTCCGCGAATGTAGAAATCGTGGCAGCCGACGTTATGTTGTGCATATTATCGCGGAAAAGTAATATTTCCAGGTAGCATAACAATGCATATGTAAATTTGTCACAATATTCTGTACGGTTGTGTTTGACTCTTATCTTAATATTTTCCTCTGCTTAATCGTCTTAAAATGCATTTGTCGAGGAGTTAGACATACCAATTAGCTGTAAAACAGAATTTCTAGGATTCTGAAATTTTCTCGCAATGGCAGCCACTCAATATATCAAATAAAGCTCGTTGTATGATAAATGAAATAGTATTCTAATAGTTAACATTCTCATCGAATTATTTATTGCAAAAAGAGCGTGAATAAAAAATTGTTATATACATGTAAATTAGAAATTGTTTTAAAAAGAAAATTATATTTAAATAAAAACGGAACACTTAAAAAGATAAAGCGAAAAATGACTTTTCTAAAGTCAAATACAAAAACACATACAGCACATTTTTATATATTTAATAAAATATTCTTCTAAAAAAATTGAGAGGCGTGTAGGTCGGTTAGAACAGTCACCGAATGCAAAGCGGCAAAAAAATGCATTATTCAGGCGAATTTCCATTCGAGAGAAGTCTGGGTAGCTCTACGTCGTTAGATTGCTCTCTTGCTGGCATTTTAATGACAGTTTGCTCCCTTTGCTTTCATTTCTTAGAACAAGGAGTTTCGACATCGTCGTTACGCGACATTCGCGTAGTATCAGTCGCGAATAACGAGACAAGTCAAATCTCATCAAAATTCCTTTTGTATCGACCGCAGTTAGAAAGTATTTAAGAAATTTATTTCGGCCTCCGATTTAAAGCAGGAGATATTTTAATCGAATTTAATTTTATCAATATAAAATTGAATTTAAGAATTAGAAATAATATAGTAAAAATTTTAACTTAATTGTGCAATGGGCTAAAGTATATAAGCAGATAAATAATAAAATAAATTTAATTTGCAAAAAAATAATTTGGTTACTTTTAATTTCGTTTAATAAGTGATTCATATTTCGCATCCTTCATGGAGTTTTAGAGGAGAGAAAATTACCTTTTCTTTTAAAAGATTTTATTTCTAAATAAAATATAAAAATTTATATATATATATGTGATTAGAATCATATATAAAATAGAAATATTTAAGACATAAGAATTGCATAACTTTTTCTCACATTGTTCAACAGTCTGTTAATATAAGCCGGTTCGATTACAATTTTTATACTTTCGAAATTCGTCACGCGCCCGCAAAGTTATGGAAAATTAAAATAAAATTCGTAGTCCCAATTTTATGGATTGCACACGATGTGTCCATAGAGACGGTTCTATTTCACCTGGGAAAAATGTAATTCAACTTCGAACGTGATTTCGAAATAAAGTCACGACCGCCAATACTGCAAGACAAATAATTGCGCCTGCAAAATTCCGATCTCTACAGACCGATGACCTTTTCAATCATCCGATGCGACTTTTTCCCATAAAACGTAAAAAATGTATGAAATTTTTATACCATTATTATGGTTATTTCATACATAAAACGATTATTCATCTCATTTTAGAAATAATAAATATATGCAACACACAAATTCATATTTCTTCAAATAATTTAAATTTTATAACCATATCTCATTATAAAATAATATATAAAAAAATAATTAAATAAATAAATTATATATATATGTATAAATTTTCCAATAATAATATTAAGTAATGTGACTGGTATTTATATCATGAAAAAGATGACTGACAAAATATAGGGAAAATATTCTATAGATATAGTGGCGACAACAAGATGCAAACAAATATATGGCAAACAGCCATATTTTCCAACCGATTATCAACATTGCCGAGATATCAAGTGTTACGTCGGCATCTCTACCGACGACATTAATGATGACGAGGAATTGCGATTACGGGCGGGCATGGAACTGGAACTCGTGTAGTCAGCCGTGTCAGGCATAGCGGAGTTAAGTTAATTCACCCCGGTATGCTGATAGTGCGACTATTTTACGCTGTCGCTTGTGCAACACAATTGCGATGTATGTTATGCTGTATCGATTTTGCACGCACGCACATAGATCACGCATACCTAACTTTATCATAAACTCTTGATATGGATTGACGTATTTTGTATTCTTGAGAATTTCTCTATAATTTGCAGATTATTCTTGTAAAGTAATTAGTACAAATTAAAATGCCTACTTTTCTTCATTTACAGGCGACAGCCCTTCATCAGACACATTGGATTTGAGCTCGCATCGTTCGTACTGTCTTCATAATAATAATAATTCAATCGGTAGCCACGCCACATCCGGACATCCGCAGGAAATCGTGATGAAAGAAAAAAGCAAGAACGCCGCGCGATCGCGCCGAGAGAAAGAGAATACGGAATTTCAGGAGCTAGCGAAGCTGCTACCTCTTCCAGCCGCCATTACGACACAACTGGATAAGGCCAGCGTCATCAGACTCACGACTAGTTATCTTAAAATGAGAGCTGTTTTCCCTCATGGTAATGAAAATTGCAAATTAGTAATATTTTCCGTTTTTAATAATTATTTAAAAATTTATATTCGTTATTTCGTTACGTGTGTGTCGTTATCTTACGATAACAAAGTAATAATAAACGTTTTTAATGATATTTTTTACTCATTACGAAAGTACATAAAAAAGAAATAAAAAAGCCAAAAAGAGAGAGGAAGAAAAAGGCAAAAATATTAAAGGTGATTCAGGTAAATTACAACGCCATTCACAAACAACCTAAACCTTATCACAAACACTCTAAATCCACCAGAGAGAATATTGTTACGCTATCCTTTAACGGTGATAATTGAGCGCTAATAACCGCGAATTCATTTAATAACCTTTTTGTTTTTACCAGCTGCAAGAACTGGTATTCGTGAATTTAGCCGGACTCTTAGGCGCAAAGGGCAAATAGTATCGGATGAGATGGATGTGATTGCGCACTTAATGCATTGTTAGTCCTCGGCGCTTTGTAAGCAAAGCATGGGGGCTGTTATAGTGTTACAAAGGCCTTCCCCAGTTCGATTCTCCCTCTTACGACATCGACGAATTGAATTTCAAGTGGCTGCATCCCTCTAGAACGATCGTCCCGTCTTTATTCTCGGGAAAAAGAGACACGACGTCCTCACGACGACGCTTTTAGGGGCGCTTTCTCGAACGCTTCGTTGAAAAGCGAGCGTAAAATTTTTTAAGAGGCCGATTGCCATCGATTATATGCCACAAGATTAACCTTTTACGATTTAAAAGAAATTGATATTAAATGTAATGTGTTATAAACACTATTTTGAATTTCTAGAAAGTATATGATTTATTGTATAATAATTTGCCTCTCTCTCTCTTTCTCTCTTTCTTTATAGTTTAACAATACACAATAGAAATTTAAAGATAATATCGACATCTATCAAATCTTGATAAAATTCATTGAAATGAGATGTATTTTTCATGTTTTCCAGACCTGTTACATTAGATTTCAAATATATAGAATTTTCGATGTAACACAATGATAGCGAAGAATTTTGAATCGAGATTATTTTTTTCTTTTGAGATGAATCGAGCTGTCTGTCAAATGCGTACTATTGTATATTGATCAAAAAAAGATATGATATGTGTCGTGTCTTAAAATAAAATTTTAGGAGTGTGTCAATTGACAATCAAATTCTAAAGAAATATGCTCCAAAATATATATCTGTGACATATAAACGTAGCAATGAATATGATTTCCGAAATTTTTTAAATATCACGGTAAATATCACAGTAAAATTTAAAATAATTTATTATTAAATCAATTAAACACATTGATTGTGTTAATCTATAATTATGAAACATAAATACTATAAATAAAGTAAATGCTTTAAAAAACTTGAAAAGAGTATTAATTCGTCAGCAAAAAAGTGATTAAATCAAATTATTTCCTGTAGTTTTACGTGACAAAAAATGTTTCCGTTGCATGTATACACACTGTGATTAATGCACAGACAAAGAACACATCTGCTAATTACATACTATGTATGAAATATCGCTATAAATATATATATTAGATAAAGAATGAAAAAAAAATCGTTTGTCTGAGAAAGAATTACTTTGTCTGTTTGTGTAATATCTTCGTTAAAATAAACATTGAAAATTTTCGAAATAAAATAAATTATATTAACAAGTTATAAAAAAGATAAATTTCATTAAATTATTAAAATAGACAAATTAGTTTTAAAAAATTGTAATTATGGAACACTAATATTTTATGGAAATACTATTACTTTATTATCGTCATTTAAAATATAAAAATTTAATAAATTATTTTAAGTACAACGTGTCAGACATATAATGTGTTATTCGATATATTTTGCGTGAAAAAAATATATTTTCGAATACAGATATATTTTTGAATATATGCACGCTTCAATATAACAAAAAAGAAATTGATTTTTTAATTGAATCCAAATTTTTCAGGTCTCGGAGACGAATGGGGCGCTGCACCGCCGCCCAACAATCCTTTAGAGGCAGCTATCAAGGAATTAGGTTCTCATCTTTTACAAGTGTGTGAACGTAATTTATATTCCTATCAATTTATATTGACATTAACATGAAATTTTCACTTTGAGAATACGCAATAATATTTTCTACTCGCAAAATTTTAATGATTTAAAATTCAATGAGATTATTTTACTTATTATATATTCGCATACAAGTTGTGAATTAAAACTGTGATAACAGATGATTTCTGACTGCAGACACTGGATGGGTTTATATTCGTCGTGGCGCCTGATGGAAAAATTATGTACATTAGCGAGACAGCTAGCGTGCACTTAGGTTTGTCCCAGGTGGGAGATATCCCCTCATTTATTTAATTAATTAATAATGTTATTTTGGTAATTTCGAGAATGATAAATCTACGCAACTATATTTAATTATTGCGTATTAGACTGATTTAATTACTTTTTCATAAATATATGAAAAACAATTTCACCATAAAAATAGATAATAAATAGATAATATGAAAAAATATCTTGCATGCAATTCTCGATCAAATTTTCTCGCGCAAAATTACATTATTATGCAATATAAATATTATATAATATATTACTCATATGTTATATCACCAAAAAATTTGCACTAATTCAAAAACTACTGATGATGATTACCGATAACTGTTCGTATGTACAGGTGGAATTAACAGGAAATAGTATATTCGAGTATATTTATCCGGATGATCGCAACGAGATGATTTCCGTGCTGAATCTTCCGCAGAGCCCCGCGGAGCTCGCGGGTTTCACATTTCCACCACCGAATTCGCGAGGCGAGATCGAGCTGGAACGTGCCTTTCTCCTCAGAATGAAATGCATTCTGGCGAAAAGAAATGCGGGTCTTGTCACGGAAGGATACAAGGTAAATAGAGAAGAAAACAAAATTTTCATAAAAAATAGCATGTCTTGAAAATCACGTTTACTATAATTCAAAAAGGAATTATAATAAACGGATTTAATATCTCTTATTATATTTAATTGAAACTTAACCTTCTATTATTCTCAAAAATGTATTCAAGAGATATTATAATTTTACTGTAGTATTCTTGCATTGTACAAGAAATCATAAAAAGAGAATACAAAATTAAATACTAAACAATAGTTAAAGTAGGGATGCTATTGTATCGATCACATTGTGCGATTCATAAAAAAAATAAACATCAAATGTGGTGGATGATATTATATAAAAATTTAAAATTCATATTCAATCTAAAATATATATTCTTATATTTCTATCAATTTTTTTCGAAGAACTATAAATTCATACATTATTGATAAGCGAGAATTGATCAGAAAAAGAAAAAACAAAGTTGAAGAGGAAAAAGCGATAGTTTATATGTTATATATTTGAAGCTGAATTAATTAAAGAAATATATATTATTAACATTGAAGTATGTAATTTTAATAATTTTAAATATTCTTAAATTTTTATGAAAAGCTTATATAATTATGTAATTTTTTCATAAAATATGACTTTTTTGATTGTTTACCTTCTCAAATATTTATCGGATCGATTTCAACCAATATGTTAGCTCAATTAATCAGACTTACGGGATGTGCTGCGCAAATTGCGAAAAATCGCAAACCGACATTAATCTCGATTTATGAAAGAAGGGAGGGGGCCTTAATTTTCCGAAATCTGTAAGATTGCTTGAGTTAACTTTCCCCGTCATTGCCAAACTTTCAACATATGCTCTGGCAATAACGGGCAACGTTATCGTTCTGATGAAGAACAAAGGGGGATGAGCCGTGACATACCTTGCACTTGCTAACCGACGAAGACAAGCTCTTATGCAGGAAAATGTTTGGCAAATAGGTCGTTCAAACCATAGTGCCATGATGACCGTAGCCCTAGCGAAAGATCCCCAATACAAAAAGTCATGAATGCAACCCCTGCGAACTGTTAGATCAGCCGAAAGGCGTGAGGACAAGGGGGCGGACTTATCCCTGATGCTTATAGACGTACAAAGAACGGATTATAGTTGACTTCTCTTTTGTCAATGCGCGAACGGAAATGCTTGAATAACACAAATGCTTTAACAAATGCATGAAGTTTAGATGACAAAAAATACCTGTTCTAAATATAATGCGTCAAGTTAATGTGTCAAGAAATTTTCAGAAACACTATTACATTTCATCAAATTATAGCTCCGATAATCGACGATGCAATTTATTAAATTTTATTTTATTTTGATTAATTTTAGTTTATTTTTTGATATAATATAGATATGAAATATAATATAATTTATAGTATAATTTATAACAATATAACTTTAATTATTATATATAATTTTAATCATTTAAATTAAGTTTTTTCAACTTTTAATTTATACCATTCTAAATTACCTTTTTAAATTATATAAAATGTTTTCAATTTAATCAAAATTATCTTTTGTATTTGATTTAATCAATTTTTCAATCTAATTATCAATTAACATAATTTGATTATTTCTTTTTAAAATTACATAATGCAACTTTAACATTAATAAAGAAAGTCAAGCTTAAAAATATTTTATTGATAGCTTTGATCGCTTTGTTTGGCGAGACATGCGTGAATTCGGAGTAAGATTAAGGGTGATCGCCCTCTTCTTTAATTCTCCTCGAGTCTCTCTCGCGTCGTAACGCACGTTGATGCACCGGAATTGCATACGAGGTGGCATATGCAACGCGGGCATAATAAGGGGCCTATTTGCTTCACAAATTCGCCCTAGTACTCGAGACGGAAGCGTGACATTCAGCGAGGCTTTTTTCGCATCATCGGCCATTCAATTAAGCAGGAATTGTTAATTTGACGTTGTGTCCCACGCAAATATCTGTACTTCAACGGCAGCGCGTGAGGGAGTCATTCGAGTATCGCACTTACGTTCGACCAAAGGAATAATATCGCGAAGGCTCGTATGCATTTCAAACTGCATGCAACGTGTTACACGTGTTGTAAAAATTCGTTTGACTGAATGAGCTGTCAGATTTTACATATATGTCGAATTTTTCAATTCTTTGAGAATATAATAAGAATAAAATTTGAAAATGAAAGAACCATTATAATATTGTATATTGAATATGTTTGGTTAAGAGCAATTTTAAAAAAATATTGTAAATTGTAACATTTAAGGAACTTTGTAATATTTTTAAGAAAAAACGTGAAGCTTATGCGACGTTTTTTTGATTTGATGTTTCAGGTCATACATTGTTCCGGTTATTTAAAGTGTATCGTGGAGCTACCCATCGGATCTGAATACGAGGACGGTATTAGTCGTTGTGTCCGTAATGTCGGTCTATTGGCGGTTGGCCATTCGTTGCCGACAAGTTCTATAACTGAAATCAAATTGCACCACAACATGTTCATGTTCCGGGCATCGCTCGATTTGAAGCTCATATTTCTCGATGCACGGTAAGATTTTGACGATATGTTGTTCATTAAATCATTTTTTCTCCATTTTTTTTTCATAAAAGTATTTTTAAGATATTAATTATCAATATAAGCACCTTTATATTTTCCCCATATTTTTTAGTCGTTAATACAAAATAAATAGAAATTAATCGATTAATTTTAATTAATAAAAAAGTCAGTTAAAGTCATATAATCATAATAATTACATGAATAAAAAAATTGTGCATTCAAAGAGATCACATAGATAAAGCAAAATCTATGGTATTAATTGCGTAATAATATTAATAGAAATATATATATATATATATATATATATATATATATATATAAAATAAAAGAATGATTTCTCTCGAATAAACTTCTTTTTATCGGTGGAGCCGGATCTCCCCGCGTTGCAAGAGGAAGCGAGCAGTGTTGACTCGAGCACCGGGACACAGTGGATTATTTATTTCCAATGTAATTATAGTTGGGTGTCGTATTGCGCCGTTAATATTTCGATGGAAGGCCCGCGAGCGGTGCCCCCGATCGAGCGGGGTACGGCCATTAAAATCAGTTTCGTGTTACCGAACGCTATATACCGCGTATATATCCTCTTTTTTTTCCTTTCCATCCGCGGCAAATAAATATCCACCACCGGCGAGGCTGACGAGCCCGCGTTACGCACCCGCTCGTTCACTGGGAACGAACACGTGATGCAGTATAAATATAGCACGGATAGAAGAGCGCGATGAAATTTTATATTATACATACACATACGTCCCCGGAATCGGCTAGCATTGTGCAAACTCGCGACGCTCGCACCGTAAATCCCGACGAAAACAAGCCCGAAGAACAATCAGCGGATCTGTTGGACTGTAGTTCTGTTAACATTGCGTATGAGTGATATATGACGCGTTGCGAATTACACGGGAAAAATAATTGCGTGGCTAAAACGGATATAGACGTGTCTCTATGATTTAAAAAAATTAAGTGACATTTAGATTAAAAAAAAAAAAAAATCCTTCCAGGGAAAATATGAGCTTCTTTAATATACGTTAGAATTTTTAAGCAGAGAGATGTAATAAAATCGCAAAAAAATTGGAAGAAAATTATCGTTATATCTTGTGTTATTACAGGGTAGCGCAATTAACAGGATATGACCCGCCGGATCTCATAGAGAAGACATTGTACCATTACGTTCATGGTTGCGACGTCTTGCAATTACGACATGCTCATCATATTTGTAAGTATTCCTTTACATATTATTCATGTTTGTAAGTATTCCTTTATACATTATTATGGGTTGTGAAACCCACTTTATGGGACAGGTTAAATAATTTTATTATTCAGAATTTTATTTTTAATGATATAATCGCATGAAGAGAATGTATTTAATATTGTCTACAATAAAATTTTTTTTTAAATATAATATGTATATATACCCTGTAAAAAATTTATTCATATTTTTTAAATAATTTAATTTAATTCGATACTCTAGCTATTTACTTAACAAACTGCAAAATTTAAGTTTGTTTAAAATGTTTCGTTTAAAAAAATTCTATCAAAAGCATTCATTAATAGAATAGAAAGATTCTTTTTGCGTAATGCATGCAATTATTTACGCGAAAGAAATGGTCGCATATTCTGTTTTGGATATATTTTCACTGTATATATTTTCTAGACCGAAAGTCAACGTCTATTTTCAAGAGACTCAATCATATTGCAAATTCAAAGGAATAACTGAAACAAACGTTTGAAAATATTTTCCTCGATATTTTCCACGTCGACCGATGGTCTGACGAAGGTCCTCTCAAGTCGAGACTCGAGGAGGATAGGCTCTTCGTGGACCGAAAGCAGCTGACGCTGCTTAACACGCCTTACATCGCCCTTACGAAATATTCTTTGATCTTTTCTCACGTTTCTCGCGTGTCGCATAGTTATAATGTATTTCCACTCTTTTCCATCTTTTCTCCCTCGCCATCCCGCGCGTTTATTCTAAGTACGTGCACACGTGGTATACCCAGGGTGTACATTATTGATTGAACAATGCTCTGCCATAGTGCGCCGACGAAAAGAGGAGGTCGCCGGCATGCGCGTGTCTATACCTCTCTATATGTGTGTGTGTGTGTGTGTGTGTGTGTGTGTGTGTGTGTGTGTGTGTGTGTGTGTGTGTGTGTGTGAGAGAGAGAGAGAAAGAGAGAATAGCGTAAAAACGAGAGGGAGTGAAATGAGGGAGATTCAGCGAGAGGTGAGAGCGAGGTAGGAGGCTGTTACTGCTATCACTGTTTGAACAGACTCGCAGTTTCACGAGCGCGACTCGAAGGGAACCTGACATAATGCCGCTAATGTCTGCGCCTGCGGATTGCGATGTCGCTGTGTCTGTCCTACTCGTTTTTTTTCGCAATTTGATGTCGGCGACATCATGGATGTCTGAAAGATATTTTTCCTAAAGAGATCGTATACATAATTTTTCTCTCTCTCTCCTTCTTGGATTATTAAAACTTTCTTTCTTAAATTCAAACAATTCTTTCCTGCTCGGTTTTTTTTTCGCAATTTGACGGCGACACCATGGATATCTGAAAGATATTTTTCCGAAGAAATCGTATACATAATTTTTCTCCTCCTTGGATTATTAAAACTCTTTTCTTTAAATTCAAACAATTCTTTCTTCCCGCTTATTTTTCCTAGAATGATTGCTAAAGATAAAGATGTTAAATCAAGAATTTTATAAAAATGAAAGGAATGTACGAAATAAAATTCAATAATAATGTGCATATAAACATTAATGCACACATATTAGTACTATAGATTATAATTATAAAAAAATCTTTCATAAAAATATTATAAGTCTTCTATAACATTAAACCTTGCTAAAAATCACTATTGCCTTCTTGACAGTATTGCGCAAAGGTCAAGTGACGACGAGATACTACAGGTTTCTGACCAAGACCGGTGGCTGGGTATGGATGCAGTCATACGTGACCATTGTGCATAATTCAAGAAGTTCGCGACCGCACTGTATCGTCTCCGTAAACTATGTGTTGACGGCCACCGAAAGTACCGGTCTCATCCTGAATTGCGAGCAAAAGTCGTCGTGTTCGAGTCCCGGAAATCCGCCGAGCGCTCCCGTTTCAACACCTACGATTGGCACGAATGATTTGGACAATCACAGTCCGAGTCCGCCTTCTTATCGTAGTAGAACCAAGGAACCACCCGACACCGATTATGCCGATAGCTCTGGCTATCCGAATTCGGAATATATGACGGGTTCGACGAATCATAATCATTACCTGTCGTCATCGCCGTACGCGTCCCACATCAACGGTGCAACTCACGAGGACAGCGCTTACTATAGTCCGGATTTATTCTATCAATATAGTGGTGAGTCTAAAATTGACTTAATAATGACATATTTAAATTTCAAATTATTTTTTATTTTTTTTTTAAATTTCAGATTATATATTTTGAGAATGAGATAAGAATTATAAGGTCAAATGAAGAACAGTAAAAATAAAAAATTTAATCACACATCTTCGTATTTTCTTATCGTTTGCACCAATTTTTTTCAATAAAATTGTTATTATAAATAAATATTATACAATTTCCGATTTTATCTAATATCATTATTTATTTTATAATTTTGAGATCTCCACCAAGATCCCGTAAACACCCTGCAACACCAACAAGAGACGCATCATCAGCATCTTTTGCATCACGCCACCTCCTTGACTATTCAACAACAGAGTCCGCAGAATAACCAGCAAAAACGACAGCATCCTCAGCATCTGCTACATCAGGCAAACCCTCTGACATCTCTTGAACAGCAACAACAACATAGTCCTCAAAGTGGCCAACAGAAACGACCTTATTCAACGTCCTCGAGTTCTTGCGGTAGTACCGATGGTTTGGATGTGCACTTGACGAATTCTCTGCTACCATCTGGATATCATTCATCGCATCATCATCATCACATACCACCGGATTCGACGTCGTCGACGACATTAAACGAAGCAGGTGGCGTCATCATGTACCCGAACTGTGGTTTCAATAATAACGAAAGCTACAACACGCTTCAACATCACGAAGGCTACCAGCAAAATCATTCTTGTAGTCAGCCTCACCACAGCAATGGCAATGCAACGGTAAAACATCCTCATCAGCATCACCTCGAGACATCATCGACCGGCTACACCAGTGTCATTGTCGATTCCCAACAGTATAGTCCTAGCACTGTTTCTCAGGATTTACACGCGCATCAAACAGCACCAGTCAGTGGTGGTACGCCACCTTTGCACCATCAGGCTCATTATGAGACGCACCATCAGTTTGTTCACTGACATCAATTTGAGGTGCCTTGCACGTAGCACTTCGACGCCGCTTGCGACGATGGCGCGTGCGGGCATCATCATCATCATCATCATCATCACCATCATCGTCATCATCGTCATCACCATCATCATCTTCATCAACAGCAACAGCAGCGTCACTGCGCAGAGACGGAATGTAGTGGAGAACAATATTCTGGACATCAGACGAATAGCGGTTCCTATAATGCTTCGGGATCTCACGTCACTTATATGACGCCCTACAAACGACTCTGGAAGATGGAGGAAAGAAACGTCTCGAGTTTGAAAGGTAACTCGTAATCAATGGCAAAAGATAAGTATCGCCAGAAAAATGGCAAATTATTGTTATTAATAATTACATGTTACAAAAATAAAAATAAGTTATCATCTTTTAATATTGATTTAATTAATACTCCGATGTGTGTAATTTTTAAAAGTTTAATATTATTCATTTCATATCATTTATCATATTATCATTTTAGATTTTCATATTTACTTTTGCTTGTATATATGAAAGTTATCAACAAGTGAACAATTTTCGAAAGTGTGTTTGATAAGAATGACATAATATTATTTGAGGATATTTCTTTTATTGCTGACAGATGCTTCACAAAGTTTCACGTAGTGGGAAAAAGTTGCAACAAAATGGCGAATTCCATCTGTGGACTAGACTTCAGGAAACATATAACTAATACTGCTCATAATTCTACGCCGCATATATTTTTCTTATACCCATATTATTTCCACAGTAAAATTGCAATATTAATGATTAAAATGCTAATCGAAATAACCTTTTTAACTTCAATATTTTTTATCAGCTATGATATTATTAAAAATATTATTAGAATAAAAATAATGATAAATATAACATCAATTATAATTTTTTTAATAATTAAATTAAAAAATGACAATTTGGAAAACTACGAAGGCTTGATGAGAAATCAATATGATTACAAAACGATACTGTAGAAACGATACTATAGAACGCAACTGACAATTCTAATATCATTTTTTAATAGAAAATGAAATTTGGATGATAATATGAGAAATGACTATCTCAATGGCACAATTATTATTAAAAGGGGGTATGTTAAATGATCGTGATAACGAAAATTAGCACAAATTACACTCGATCGATGATGATTTTATGCGTCATAAAAAATACCGGGAGTAAATAAGCTTATAAATTTCTATATACGAATGTGTATCACATATCTTGAAATGTGACAGTAATATGTATCACATATTTCGAAATGTGACAGTAATTATTAGTTTGTGATATATTATAATTTATTAGCTACACTAAATATCTCACAACTAATAATGATCATAATCATTAATATCATGAACATGTTATATAGAAAGATAATAAGAATATTTTACACGCGCTGGACGCGTATTCTGAAAACTTTCTGCAAAAAGTAATTCAATAAGAGAATACCCTGGATGGCATATTAATTAATATTAAAACATTTAAATTTAAAGGTGATGCATGAAAAATTGAAAACATCAGAAAAATTAAAATAATTCGTGCGATAAAAACTCAAAATAATATTCCAATTTCCATAGGCTTTCTTGTTGATATTGAAAATATCGTGAAATTAAATATATAAATTTCATACAAATAATTTATTAAGAACTTTAAATAAATTTTAATCTATTTCTATAGTCTATTTTATCTATTTCTATAGTTTTTTAAATCTATTTTAATTAACTTTTACAATATATACTGAATTCATATACGTATGAAACATATTATATTATTTATATTATATATTTATATAATGTAGTCAATATATATATATATATATGTATATATAATATAATATATAATATAAATAATATATATAATATGTATTTATATAACATATAATATACATCTTATATATATATATATATATATATATATATACATATATATACATATATACATATATATATATATATATACATATAATTAAACATATATATTAAATATATAATATTTAATAAGTTTAATAAGTGTGAGATTATGAGAAATCATTTGTATGTTTTCAATTTTTCAATCTGGAGCACTAAAACAAAGTGTTCTAATATTAAAAAAATATGCTGATAAGGTTACTGGCATTGTTGCTGTACATACACCATTAATGCGAGATCTTCCGAAATATGTAAATAATTGTGTAGACGTATAAGTTGTCCTAATTATATGTAAAATTAAGATGTACACAAAATACATATAAAATGTATATAAATAGCATTTACATTGATTCGCGAAGACTGACCGGTGCTTGTGCCAATCGACCAAAGAAACGCGTTCTTTTTATCGAAAACTTAGTATCATTATATTTATATTTATATATTATATACTTATTTAATAATAATGAGTATCCAATATATACATATGGTATGTTCAACTGAAACACAGACTGATTTTGAAACTTTTATCAAAAACAACTATTTGAGTCCATGTTTCAATTGAACGTATTTAATACGTAAAAGAAGTATATGACGTTGTAAATATAAACGTGTAGTGCAAGATTTAGTATACTTTAATCATCGCGAAATATTTTATTACGAGAAATTCGTAGATTGTTACACGTATATAAATCACAGGATCAGTGTCAAAATGGAGAAATTAGATATTCAGTAATTTCTCAGTAATTTTTCAACTCCGAAAATCACTAAGGAAAAAAATGTCTCAACCATTTTAACGCTGATTATACACACACATGGCACAAGTCAAATTATTTATATCGTATATGTAAAGTGTGAAATTTCGTAGCGAGGGAAATGACGTGTCCGCATCAAGTTTTGTAAATATGTAAAACTATAGAGCGTGCACTGCAAACCTATATATACAAGAAAAAATATATCTCATATTTTCCTCTGACAAAATATAATATTTTCTACTTGTTGCCTTATTCCTGCTTCTATACTTTAAAACCATTTTGCAACAGTGCAGTTTTGTGTGTAAAATAATATATTAATGCGGCGCAATATTTTATAAAAAAAATTAATAAAACAAAAACTTTTTGCATTCTACAAAATGACTAAATAAAATAATGATATTCTTTGATAAACGAGACATAAGATTTAACATTTATGTCATGTACAAATAATCTTGGCGTGAAAATAGTGAAGTCAATTTATTTAGTTCTAGTCAGGTGCAAGATAAATAAACCTCACAAATATTTCATATACCATGTAGCTAGTTATATTCTTTCAACAAAGACATATTTTCTTTCAAAAGAAATATTTTCAGTGATTTCTTGTCAAGGATAACAATTTTTGTAAAGATGACTAAAATCTAAGATTATTAGAATAAAGATTATTAGGATTAGTTGGCTTTAGATTGAGCCAAGATCAGGCTAAGTTAAGCTATAGAACAAACAAACATTTTTGAAATACTACTAAAAGAATCCTTGAATTTCAAAAAAATCTCAACAATCTTTTTTGCTTAATCCTCGATTCTCCTCGAATCTCCTCGATTTAACAGTCATTCTCAGGTAATAAGAAAACAACTGCAGAAAAATTCATAAAAAATTTTTTTATATAATCTCATATACATTTATATATTTATATACATATATATATATATATATATATATATATATATATAGTTTTAATTCAATTATATAAATATATATATATATATATATGTGTGTGTATATAATAGAATTAAAGCTAGATTATAAAAAAATTCATTAAATTATTATTAGATATCACAATTAAAAAAAGATCTAAAAAATGTTTACAAGTATATTTAAAGTAATTTAAAGTAATTTAGTTATGCAAATTTTCATATTAGTTTACGATTATTTCAAATTTCTATTTTCTATCGAGTGCGCGTTATATAATAAAAGAGAATAAGACTCAGTTGAATGTGCATGAACAAACGAATTATTTTAAAAAAGCATTGAAAAGCCCTCCCATCCTTCCCAATAATGGGTTTCACGTACATAATTCGTGAGATTCTCACCATTAAGTTAAGAGAGCGGAATCGCTTATAAAAGCGATCTAGATCGCACAAAATCCAGCGGGGATCCCTTGTGCAACAAACACGACGAGGCAGCGATCCCGCTTTTTTGCCGCGCAATCCCGATTGTCACTCGGCTGGCACAAACAATAAATTAATTGTACCGCGTATGATTCTCCGTCGCTTAGCTTTCGGCGGTCGTGTGCCTGTCGGCATGAGGTCCCTTGACGTCTTTAGAAAGAGACACGTGCCATTTTATAATCGTCATTCAGCTCTCCTCTCTCCCTCTCTCTCTCTCTCTTTCTTGCTCAATCAAAGCAAGCATATAAAAAAGCAAGTTTTCTAGAAATCATTAACTCCCCCAAAGTCGATTTACTCCGTTACGATTTTCCCACAAATTAAAGATACAAAGAAAATTAAAATAGATAGTCATCTAAAATCAATATTAATTAAATAAGATATAAGACAATTTTTCAATAATACTGAAAAGCAAAACTTGCCTTGTAAATATATATCTAACTTTAATGAAATCTCTATAAACTTGGAGGCTCTTTAATTACAATATTTTCCATCACTATTATTATAATTGAATCATTCAAGAAATTTCAGAAACCTTAAATGTGACATGTTTTAAAAGCTTTTAGCTTTATATCTATAATAATTGATTGCGGAGGCTGTGACCTGAAAAATTTCAGACATATGATCGCACGTGCTCCAAGTCGACGCCGCGGGCGATATTCGACAATTGGTACCTCCTGTAACGAGTGATCGCCCGATTTTACAGAATTGTGGTCGCGTTTCGTTCACCGGCCGAAGAATTTAATGAGCCGCACGCGGCTCGACGCGTCGTCGCACGCGACCGATAATGGCATCTCTCACAGACTATTCCGCCTCCAATGTTCTCATTATACACTCTCATATCATGACTGACATATTCTTCCGTTCGCTCTATCATGACAAGAAGTATCGGTAGAATCACACGGAAGAATTAGTTGTTATGATTATCAATATATATTAAAAAATATATTAAAAAATATAATATTTCTTGATTAATCAAGTAATGTTATTTTTCAAAATTGATGTGGCAAATTATAAATAATAAAACAAAGATACATTGTATGATATATATGTTGCATATTTATTACATGTATTATAAAATAATAATTTTCTTTTAATTTCTTTAAAATTCTTAATCTCTTAAGGAGCTTCTCAGTGGCTTAATTTATCCATTCTATCTTGTTAGAAACGACATTTATTACGTGATAACGTTGTTATTGCAAGTCAAAACATTTGCATACAGACGGCGATTATTTATAGAACGCGAAAATAGGATAATATATATACTAAAAGTCAGCTCGCGGAAAGAACTGTGAATAGGTCGGTTCGAACAGTGTAGACTGTGGATAATTGTTGTGCCACAGCAAGTGGTTTTGTTTCTTTTCGCGTGGGTCGCTCGTAAAAATATGAGACCTGAAAGGGAGGCTTACACTTTTATACACGTCTCCGCGCTACGCGTCTACTTTATCGTAAAACGTGCGAGTATTGTATAAGAGAGCTGGGTCACACATAAGAAAAGTAATGAGGCCGTGCATAATCAGCAAAGAACGATTGCGCAAGCCATATTTTTGTAATTACAAACTTCTTTCCACGGTCTTTCATTTAATTTATTTTTAATTTCTTATTTTTATCACATTGTACATAATAAAAAGAAAAAGTAAAATATTAAAATTATTCTTATAATCGAATTAATTTTAAAAACTATTTATACATTTAATTTTGACATTTTTAATATTGAAAATATGTATATTCTATTCCATTAGGAAGGTTTATTCCCAGGACGTTTATCTGCGGCATCAAATTTGAAATTTGAAATTTTTGCAAAAGAGTATGAGAAATTGATTTTTTTTCTGATTATATCAGTAAAAAATAACATTGCGCATGACACTCTCCGAAAAGTAACATATGCATCGGCCACATCGTGGGTACCGCAGAAATGACTATTATCTCTAGCGATTAGGGATATAAACGCGGATTTGTGGAGCAGGGGGATTTTAACTAAACACTTGACAGGTTGCGTGCGCTATAGAAACATTTGTATCGCGGGATATAGTATTTGCTTATCATTAAGATACGGATTATGGAGATTTATGGGGCTCCTGTATAAATCGTGGTTTTCACAAATAAAATAAGATAAGATTAGATTTAGTCCAGTAGAATATCTAAGGGCTATAACGTATGTATACAAAAGAAATATTTAAAAATGCAATAAAATAGAGAGATCTCTATAAATTAAGCTTAATTATGAGTACACGCTCTTATCTAATTTAATGATAATAATTTTTTTAAATTTCTATCTCCATAAATTTTACAAATTATCCATCCTAGAGTTATTTTATAGATATGTGTCAAAACATTAATCGTCATAAATAAACATTAAAAAATTCTCGAAACCATAATTTCACCGGTCGATTTCCGCGAGATGAGAAAGAGAGAAAAGATCACCTCTGATCGAAGGTGATCTTTGGCGTTGCTGGTGGCGGTAAATTTGGCGTGTAGCTGGAGGAAAGGCAAGGGCGGTGCGTTGGCAAGGGTGTCGGTAGGACACACAAACGCATACGTACACGCACACGTGCACACAAGCTTGTATCGGCGGCGAACTTGCGCGCAATCGGGGACGAAGGGACCGCTTTAGCGGAATCGCCTCCGCGGTAACCAGGACGACGGCACGCAATGCCGCCCACAATCCCGGGCTGTCTTGTCCGATGTGTTTGCTCGATGATTTTATACCAATTACGGCCTATCCCCGTGCCATTGCCTACACACTACCGGCACCGGCCGCCGTTACATCATTGCCATTGCGCGATTCCGTCGCCACTTCCGGATCGGAAGCGGCAACTAAGTAACATCACTTTCAGCACATGCGATATTGAATCGCCGCAAGTTATAGATTTGGTATCGGCATTACTATTGATGAGTACCGATAATCGATACTATACTTGATTCCGAAGAAAAATAGTATTTGTACCTTTAAATATAAATATGTTTATAATATAAAATATTTTTATAAATTTTATTCTATTTCTTATATAGTTCTTTTCACAATGTTTGAAATATAATATCATAACACCTGTTGCGTTGAATTAAGAATTAATTTTAATTATGTAGCATTTAGATAAGGACACGCGTTAGAATTCACTTTTTAGGGGATTTTAGGGGAATTTATGAGAATGTTCTAATAAAATAAATAAATTAATTCATAATATCAATTTCTAAGAGATTGCTAGAGTTTTATAATATAGTTAAATTGGATAAAATAGGATTTTCTTTTCTCTTGAATACTGGAGTAAAACACATATGGCACAAAATACATTTAATATATATTTATATTTATATTTAAATACATTTAAATACATTTAATTATATTTAAATACATTTAATATATATTTATATATATATTTAAATTAATAACAACTAATATACAAAATAATACAAAATATAGACGAATAATACAGTTAACATGTAGGCTGGAAAATAATTATTTATATCATTAGTATATATATATATATATATATATATATATATATATATATTACATATTTATGAATATATGTAATGTGTGTATTTCTAAATAAAACATCTCTTGGATTTTTATTTATAATTTAATAATTAGATTTAATTCGCGTAGATGTTTTGATCGTCTCTTCGAGTCTATTAGATTTAATTTAGTCAATCAAAAGTATTTCTTTGTGTACATATATGTTATATTCGTATTATTTATACTACTATATAAATATTGTAAATATTAAACTTATTAAAATCTTCTCAATTTATAAGTCTATAATTAACTATTTTCCAGTGTACATGTGTATTTATAGATTTCAAGCAAAGTTTATTTCTTTGGTATTCTGCATTTTAATTATATATTAATTATATTATATTATCATCTGTATTAAGACTAAATCTTCAATGGGCAAATTATCTATTACAAAATCAATCATAGTCGAGTAAGATATTTTATAAAGCATTCCAACATTTTTTTATTTATTGCAAAATATTATCAGAATTATACACGATAAATGCGTAAAGTATTTTCGAATTTATTTCAGTCTTGCAAAAATAATAATGCAATAATTTCAGAGTATCATATATAATTTTTCTGCAGCGCAAAAGTATATAGAGACATCTGGACATTTTCTAGTAAACGTTCAGCTTTGTCGGCGATTCAAATAGCCGATAAAGTAGATAGATAATAATCAAAATCAAATATATTCTTATGTGTAATAAGTGATTTTATTCATTTACCTAATATTTACTCGTCATCGAAATCTCTTTTCTGTTATTTCAAGATAATTATTAATCTCTGCTTCAACAATGTCGAAGATGTATAAAAATACATATAAAAGTTAAATTGAATTAAAATTGACTTTCGTAAAATAATATACATTTGTAAAATAATATATTTTTATTTATCAAACTGTAACTGGCAAATGTAATTTTACGCCGCAGTGAAATAATGTCCAAATTCTCAGCATTCAGAGACTGTTTATGAGAAATATGATTATGATAAACTTAATTTTTATTTCAACTAAATCTAATATTTACATAAAGTTATTAAGAAAAATTAAACTTGAACACGTAATTTCGCAATAAATTACATAACGATATACTATACATTAAGGGAAATTAATAATAATTAGAAATAACTCAAAATTAAACTAAGGTTTACTTAGAAATTCTACTTAATCTCCGTTTGAATTAATCAATGGTTGATTAATTGATGCAGATAAATGCACCAATGACTAACGAATGATTAGTCGTTTTATAGAGTTAATTATTTCGAATTTGATATATTAGAATTTCGAGCGAGCCTCGTTGTAAGTCCCATAATGAACGTTTTTGTTCTTGCCGAAGTCTTCATCGAAATTATCGGCTCCACTATACATGGAAAAACCACGACGAGAGAGTAATTCTCCTGGCACGATTGTAGGATTGGTATAACAAAAATCCGCCATCATATTCGTCTGCCTGTTTAGTTGGTTGGACCTAAATCAGTTTTTAATTTCACACTCTCTTAGCGATCAAATTTATATAATATAAATCAAAAAGAGAAATATAAGGATTTGATAAAGATGATTCTCTTAATATCTATTTGAGTTTAAGTCGATCCTAAATTATGGATTATAATCAAAACATTTTTTATAGATATGACACATATTCGTGGAGTACATCCAAATAAGAATTAATTAATTGAATAGCATTAATGAACGCTTATCGAGAAAATTACGAAACAAAAAAGGTACTTAAAGAGAATTTTTCAGACTACTACTTTATAAAAGATTTATAAAAATTTTTATTAATAAAAAAATCTGGAAAAAACTTGGAAATATTTTAAACTTTATGCTAAAGGATCAATTAAGAAATTACTCACGAATAAAAGCATTTTTTAATCATTATCGTTCTACATTCTTGGATGAGATAAGCTAAATAATCGCGCTACGAGCAATAAAGATACGTTATCAAGGATTCCGACGAAATATGAATCATAAACGAAACTTGAATATTTGATTTTCATTCTTATAATGAAAATATGAAAATGTCTATCGTCGATACAGACGTGCGTCATACACTTTTTCCTTTCGCCGCATAAGAATATTGCTAAACAGAGGGAGCAATCATATAATTACAGTAAAATACAGATTTAGAAATAATTTTAGATATATACTTTAATGAAAAATTTTAAATAAACAATCAAAATTACGATTAAATTTCACTATTTCAATGTTACTGAATTGTGTTATAAGATAAGTGACACAAGACTATGTAAAATTCTAAACAAATTACGAAAACATTTGTTTTACGAAAATGTTCTATAATATTAAGACTTTTAAAACCTAGCATTTCGCATGTAACAACCTAGTGAAATAAGTAATATGTATGTAGCTATGATTTAGCTGGACGGAAATTTTGAAATACATTACGCGAGTGCAGAGACGCACGTCATTTCTTGTCTATCAAACGCACTTTCACTGCAAGTAGAATACTATAATTGATGCATTGGAATGTAAATATTAGTCATTAAATTTACACCTAATGATAGATTGATTCAATATAACTGTATTCATTAATTTTTTATGAAAAAAATTCTTTCCATGTTAATAGCATTATCAAAGCCTGCAATTGTCACTTTTATTATCAGTTGACAAAGCAGAAGTAATACTCACCCATCCCCAGCTAATCGATTTACTTTTATGAATAGCACGATTACCAAAATGAAAAGTAAAATAAGTGCACCGGCAGTGATACCACATGCAATGTAAAAATATAGCGTCCAATCTTCGAGAGATTCCTAAAAAGAAGAGTTTGCAATCATTTTTTAATTATATAAAATTGAAAAAATAAAAAAATTCAGAAATAAAATGCAAGCGCAAACAATTGTTTATCAATCATTTGTTAATAATATATAAACTAATATGGAGAAAGACTAATACAGATTAGTTATCTATCTGTTCTGTTATCGTGATAAAGTCTATATTATTATGCATCTTATCGCGATTTCATCAAGCATGAATTAATTAAAATACTGACGCAAAAATTACAAATGACAAAGATATCGGAAACGGAAATGCAAGATTGTGAAAGGATTTTTGCATCATGCACGATTGATATCCGCTTCCTTGAAGAATTTCGTAAACTATATTCAATTTCAATATCAATGTGATATACGATTACTAAGGTACTAGGAATGACGAATTAAAACACCTTTCTCGAATCAAATATTATAACGTACGCGCGATCGTTATCTTTAAACAGAATTTATTTCATGAATATCTATCTTATGCATCTCATCGACTCGTTTGTATCCGACCTTGCGTGCGCATAGTGCATCTCTAACAACGAGGTCTGTGAACGGACATGATCAATTACGAGGAATCTGCATTTGTAAATATCTTTATTTTATTTTCAGGAGAAAAATCACAGAGCAATCAAATAGGGAAAAAGGTTTGCATGGTTTTGCAAAGGTTTGCACGAATAGGTTGCATGAGTTTTAAATATTTTTTCTCGAATTTCTCGTTTTTATCTATATACACATTTTTTTCATATTTCATTGTGAAATAATATCGTTATCGGCTACCAAGGATATATTTATCGATATAAAATTATTGACAATTCTATAAGCATATCAGTTGTATGCGTTCTAATTGTGCTAAAACTGACAGAACTCTGAATGAGTTATTATATATTTGTTTTTATATATAATTTTTTTATTGTCATTTTATGATCATTTTTTGTATAAAAACATATATTAATAAATAAATAAATATTCTGCAATTATTATAATTTTTTCAAACCATAAGCATTTCTTTTTTGGAAATAATCATCAATTATAACATGACAAAATGAGAGAAAAAAGCAATATAGCCTATCAAATATGTATATCTTGAGCACACAATTATTATTCTTCATCAAAGATAAAATTAACATTTCAACACGACTGTCAGATGTGGAAACTTACGATGGTTAAAGATACACTAAATAATATCAACTTTGCCATGGAGGCTTATATCGAAGATGTAATTTTTAATAACGTTACACAAATAAATATGATAAAATGATTTACACTGTTTACGATACTCGAAACAATTCGGATAATTTCGTCAAAGACGAGAGACGGTTAGGAATTTCGCCGGAAAAAAGGAAAACACGTGATTTCACGCACGTATCGCGAGAACGTGATTTGCGGTCAGGGACCGTACAATCGACCTCGGGATTATTTGAAAGATATGTAAACATTGAAAGTGGGAGAAACTAATATGTACTTACCATCGTGAGTATGAATCAACCAGCTGAACCCGCGAATGTGGTCTTGTCATACCTTGCGCACGATATCGTTTTAGATTCGTGTAAGATGTCGCACTTACTCAAGATATCAGCGAAGATCGATATCGGCGTTATCACGATCGTTATCGCATATCTATCGAAGCGCGACACTGTGGATTCCAAAATATTGAAACATCTCATCGAGCCATTCGCGCTCCTGATTTGTCGCGAAAAATCGAATTCGGCTCGAAGTATCCGCGGGAAAATCCAGCAATGTCGTTGATTAAGTGGAACCGCGTTCAGAATTCCCTTTTTCTCTTCCTCAAAAAAGGAGAAAGAAAAAAAAAGAGGAAAAACACTCGCGAGAGAACACGTATTAATTAATTAATATTACTTTCGATCGGCAATTCGGTTTTATCGATTGCGATTTGCACCGTACGTATTCAACAGGTGCGGGATGGCCGGCTAGTTAAATGAGTACTAAGCGAGACCGTCGAGAGCGAGGTAAAGCAAAGCGGCGGTGCCACCTAAGCAATGTTGAATGCTGATAAGCCCCTCCAAAGCGCGGCCGCGAACACGGGCGTGTGTTCACGCGCGTGTGACTTGTCTCCCGCCTTCGCGCTCTCTCATTTACGGAGTCGCGTCTCCGCGCGTCACGTGGGTAGAGATGTTCAATTGCATAATGTATCGATAATTCTATTCTCATTCGCTAAGTATTGATAATTCTGTTAATTCAAAAATTACACTGTAATTATCGATATAAGCGGCAATAATGAAATGTCGTTAATTATTTATGTAAGCGAAGATGTCGAAATTGAGCACAAAGTATCGATATTGCTTAACGATATTAAAATTTTGTTAATATAGTCCTAAATTTGACAGATTATCGATTTGTCGGTAATCGATCATTCTAATCGCTATGTATTGGTTTTCGCAAATGTCAATATTAAATGTCAATATAAGATATTAATAGTAGCAAAAAATTGGATATATGTGATAATAAGAAAAGATTCCTTAAAGTAAAATTACAACTGCAGTTATAAAATAAGGCGCAGTAATTTTGGAAAAATAGGAATGGTTTATTTTTTAAAATACATAAAAATTTATAATTTATCAAAAGAATAAAGAAAATATAAAATTTGTAACTGCACTTGTAATTATTATTTCAATTTAATATTCATTAAATAATTTTGATTCATTCGTCATATCACAATCACTAGAGAAAACTGTGCAGTGTATATTACTAATTATAAAATTGTATTCCTAGAGAAGTTAAGAAAATACTTATAAATATGTGAATAGTATCTCGCATAAGAAATGGACAGTCAATACGCAGGTGTAGAAAACAAATGCATGTGGGACTCGCCCAATAAACTATGTGCACAGCTGCGGAAACTTGTGTGTAAATATTATACACGCCTCTATATACACGCACATATTAAACCTGAATTGTCATCCATAACTTAGAAAAATTTTAGTCAGACTTTCGCTTTTCCTCACGCAAACGACGATATAATTCATCGTTGTCATGTGCATGTGTTATCTGTCATATCATTTTCAAATATCACACTTAATTCAAAATATATTACATATCACAAACACTTTTTAGCATAAAGATATGTAAAAAAATGTACAATTTCTAACAATTATATTGTGTACAATTTCTAACAATTATATTGTGAAAATATATGATATATATTGAATTATATTATATAATAAAATTTTAACTTTAAATCTATTACATATATACAAGAGATATAGATAATTTAACATTAAAAATTAAAAAAAAATTACAATTGTAAGTTATACAATCCTTTTCATTTATTTTATTAAAATACAGGTAAAAAAATTTGTCATATGATATGTAATTTGTAATATTTGTCATATGATATGTAATTTTTAATATTTTTTCCATTGAAAAATAATGTAAAAATATCCTAAAAATATCCTAAAATAATTTTTACTTATCGTGGTAAGTAAAAATAGTTTTACTTAGTTTTTTATATTAATTATATAGGAAAAAAATGTTAAAAATATATTACAAATTACGTATAATAAAAATTATTAATCACCTGTATTTGAATATAATAATTGTAAAGAATTGTGATTATTTATAACTGTAAATATTTTTATTTTCAGTGTTAAATGAAACTTTACATATCATTAAAGTTAACATTTTAAATTCTATTAAAGTAAATATCACTTTATATATTAATTTAAAAAAATTATATCTATTTCTTTCAGAGAGCCAATTTTTTACGTTTTTTCCGCCTAATTTTCAGCAATAGTTAATAAATAATTTCCGTATATGTAGTTTCAAAAAAATATCAAGTTTTTGTTTGTACTATCTGGACACAAACAAAAATCTCATATATATCATATATCGACAAATCTCATATATCGATGAAAGTAATATTGTTGTTACTCTTTTGCGCAAATGTATGCAAATTCATGAGCCAATATAATATATAAGGAAGGAACATACAAAGACTCACGTATAGGTAGTAGGGAATAGGACGGGTAGATCCGAAAGGACAGAACCACAAACCTCTTCTGGTACCATCTCGAATGTGATGACTTAGGAAGGAAGCCAGTATCACCCAAGAAGTATGTTCCAATATAGGAGAGTGGAAAGTGTTGGATAGGAAAATGAAGAGTATCCACAGAACAATAGGAACCGTGGTACAATGCAAGAAAGGCCGCTTCTGTAAATGCGTGGCATCCTGAAAAAAAAAAGATAAAATTAAGAATAGAAATAGAGAAAAAACGTAGAAATAAATAGATATGCAGAAAAGAGCTACATATTTATATAAATAATATAATGTATAATGTATAAATAATATATAATGATATAACATAATCACAGCAATGATGGATAATAAATAATATGAAATAATTCATTTTAATTACATTTATATATCATTTATATATCATTTCTATTAAAAAATCGTTTTTTAATTTTGTTTAATGATAAATTTTGTTTAATTATTTAATAGTATATAGTATTATTATTTCTGATTTTATTTGCATATATAATTTCATAATATAATTTAAGAAAAAAAAAAAGAATATTCAAATAATTTTTTATAATAGAGCATATGTAACAGTAAAAAAATAATCGATTCATAAATTATTCATATAAAAACTAATAATTTAATAATTTAATATTATATTTTTAATTACATAAGTAATATTTAATTTCGAAAATTAATTTTTCAGTAATTTTATTACTTCAATAATGCTTTGAAGATTACTATGGTCGCACGGAGTTCACTTGATAAAACTATCGCGCATTCATAATATTAATGCATATTTATTTTCTGTGCATGATATAATAATCATCCGAAAGTGTTCTCGATATTACAGATGCTACACTCTTAATTCCTATGAATATTTATTATACGTAAGCTTATTAATATATTTAATATAATACCTAGAGCTATGGTCGCACGGAGCTAATTTGACGAAATTGTCGTCCTATCGAAATTTTTCCACTACCGACGCGATATATTTATATTCACATATAACAAGATAATCACTCCCGATATTTTTCGACACTCTCGATAGTTTTTACGGTATTTCGAATACTACACATTTATTTACAAGCGATATTTATTCTCGGTTAACCGAAACCATAACTCAAGTACGACGAGACAATTGATTTTTACGATTGTAATATCATAAATTATAATTAATAAGAATCACAACAATCCATCAACACAGCAATCTATTAATTATTATTTTGACATTTCGATATTTCGATGCTCGATCGCGATTATATTTACATCACAAGCAACAAAACGACGTCATAAAAAATCGTGTATAAACGTGTAGACGAGCGCGAAAAGACTATTCCGATTCCGAATTCGGATGGGTTATGTGAACCGGTTCAATTCCGGAATTCCGTGATTTTACGCAAATTGAATATGGCTGTGATGACGTCATCGAGTACTAATTCCTATTATGCGTGACGCGTATGTATAAATGAATTACAAACACGAGACATTTAAAGCATATATGTCGAGTATAGAATGCAAAAATCATAAAAAATAATTTTTATCACTAGCTACTATATGTCTACTTATTAATTGACTTGTCACTTGATAAAATTGTAGATCGAGCAACGCGTTTTTGTATAACACAAGTTCAGATAAGTTCAGATAATCCTCGCAATAAAAAATTGAAATATATATATATATTAAGAAAAAAAACTACACATTTTTATGAAATAAGAATTGAAAATTATTAAATAAGAAAATAAGAATTATTGAAATAAGATAAGCGTATCAGAAAGAATATCTCATCACAAACCTTGGGCATCTATTACTCACATGAATGTGCCAACTTCGGGCCGCGATAAAATGATCCAGGTCGATGAAGGACGCCAGCAGGAAGCAGGAGAATACGCTGTTCATGTTGCGAATGAGCGGCTTTTGCGACAGGACGACGATCAACGTCCACGTGAGGCCGCCGACTGTCGCGTGCGTCATGTTGTCAAACACCGCGCGCTCGGACTCGCTCTTGCCGTGCTTGAGTCCGAGATCGCCGAGAATCGAGCAGACGCCGATTGCACACGTCAGGAGGAAACGTAACCAAAGTCCTTCGCGCCACATCGCGCACGTATTTCCCTACAATCGGCGTGACCGGCAATTAATTAATAATCGCGTAATATCGATCGGCTTCGGGACTTTGACCGTTGTAAACCGAAGTGCGACGCACACCTAGCGGTCACACATCCGCCATCATGATGACGTCATGCGCGCGCAGAGAATGTATATAGGCCAAAGCTGCCAGATCTCCGCCGCAAGCAACACCTTGTGGAGGGGATAACGGAGATGGAGCGTAACGTACGTGTGAGCTCGGAGTGCGCCGACTCACACGTACGTTACGCTACATCCCCGTTATCCCCTCCACAAGGTGTTGCTTGCGGCGGAGATCTGGCAACTTTGATATAGGCTGCGTTCCAAAATTCACTGCCACTAATGAAAATCTATAGTTTACGTGACGTACATACACTATAGATTTTCAGTACTGGCAGTGAATTTTGGAACACAGCCATAGATACATAATTAATTTTTCGATGTTGGTATCCCTGATATTGAGCTTCGCGTTTCTGTCGCAGGACTTCAAGTCGAAGTCAAACGAAGTTACGATTCTTGATCTTTATATATGTTTGTGGTACGTCTTTATACGTCTATGCTTTCATTCTCTCGTATTAGCTCGAGATATATCCACGAGATACGTATGATTCTTGAAATTACTCTGTAAGTTATTGGTCTTTTATAAAAACAGATTTTTTGCGAGAATCGAATAACCAACATACGGTGTCGTTTTTGTAAGGCGTTCGTAAAAATCATTGAGAAGTTTCCTGCGATTGTACATCATTATAAATTGCTATCTGTATAGAAAATTTTGGTTGCAATCCATTGGGCGTGATAAGAGACGAGCGCTATTTTGACTTGACTACGCCTTCGTTTACCGAGGAATAAATTGTTCTCGACACAAACCTCGGAGATTCGAAGATCATTTCTTTCAGAAACTCGAAGAGGAAGTCATCGAAAAATTACATCAAAATGGTAATCATTTTGTTAATTTATTCGATATTAAGCTTTTCAAAAGATTGTCATATTCGTGTCTGGTTTGAGATGATATTTGCCTCAAGCATCACACATGTTATTGTTTTATTTAATGTCGATCGCCATATTATATGTATTAAATGTTTATTTGTCGGTATCGAAGTTAGCACGTGCAAATTAAATATACAAGATCATTGAAAGAATGCACGATGTATCATGCTTTTTTCAGAAAGTACGTTGTTATTTTGATTTGATTTTCGTGCAATCAAATGTGTATCAAACAATAGAAATTGTTAAAATTATTAATTAGCAATAGCCGGCAAATGCTACTTTTTATCGTTTAATTTCTGTGCAAATTAAACAAAAATTTAAAATCTTTTCAAACATTACCTGCACAGATCGTATACTAAATTTGGATATTGCAAAATGTATATTAACTCAACTTGAAAATGATCGTTCAAAAGAGAAAGTTGAAATATATAGCCATTTACTTTAAATGATAGATTTTACTTTTCCTTTTTGATAATTAAATTGGAAAGCAACTTTATTATTTGCAACGTATAAATT